TCAAACATAAAAACGCAAAAATAAACAAGAAAACAAAAAGATGTTTAAAAAAAATGAAAACCAATTTGATATTCATTCATGCAGCTCGTCTGATCATGGTTTTTTTTTTTGTAAAATTATATTGCAATTTTTGGCTCATTTTCATTATAGAGGCGTTATGTTTATGCGTATATATCGTGTATTTATTCAAAAACACTTATATTGTGTAATAATATACATTATACACAATTTTCATCTCATATATATATACACACACATATAGTAGCATGCAGATTCCAAAATTTCTCATCGCTTAGACGAAGATAAATAATTACAAGTATGAAATATATATATATATATATATGTGTGTGTGTGTATTAGCGGTTCAATGGATGTGAGAGAATACAGATCACATAGAGATGTTAGGGGCATGAGAGGATACAAAATAGGGTTAGAATCCAAAAACATGAAATTTGAAAGAAAACAAATTTACAGATCAGAGAGAGAGAGATGTGCATGATGGGAATCCTAAACGTTGTCGTTTTGCTCTGCCGAGAGAGAACTGCTCCCTCGTTGTTTTCTATTTATTATTCTTGTTTTTCCCTTATCTATTTTCCAAAAATCATAATAATACCAAGAGGAGATAATAATAATAAGAACGATAAATATGGAAGGACAAGAGAACAAAAGGGATCCACGTGACGCGAGGTGTTTGGGTTTTGGAAATGAGTACAAGAATGGGACTGGTCTTGTCCTTGCTCACTGTGTCGGATTTCTTGAGAGATTTTAATTAGATTTTATCAGTCTTTCTTTTCAATAATTCCATATGCCATTTTATCATTTAGCGATGAGTTTCCAGCATCATACATATTCTTTCTTTCTTTCTTTTTTGTAAATGCATCATACATATTCCGTTAATCATGAAATGAGTATAGGGTTTATTCTAGTATATTATAATCTTATATAACGATCCATCTATGCAGGGAAAAAAAATATTCATTGCTGTTTATTATAGCGTGTCATGTTATATAGATTGTTATATAGATATACGTATGTTTTTAATAATTAGTAAATTAAGAGGTGACAAAGTCATCTTCGAAGTCATAAGTTCGATTTCACTGGCGGGGAGGAATGTAATTTCTGGACCAAAATAGTTTATATATAAAGACTGGTACCGGACACATGGTGGATGACTGGATGTAATCGGATCGAATGTTTGGGGAATCATCCTAGTTAATAAAAAAAAACTATATCTTTTAGAAGATCGGAGAGGTACGAGTAAATATTTCTCTCCACGTTTGGATTTGAATCCGATGTCAGAACATATTTTGCATATTCTCTTAGACCACCTAAATTTTGGTTAAATATACGTATCTATAAGTTTCTTTGTAACCAAAAACAATTTTCTACGTTCACTTTGTAGTATACGTAATAATATAATTGTACAATATAAGTTGATTATAATCAGTTGTTTAAGTACAAATGGATTTCCTCAAAAGAAGTTGCGGGCAAAAGACTTTCAAGTTGAAGTATATTCTCAGGCTGTAGTTTTTGTTTTCGCTATTATTCTAACTTGCTCTAATTAAGATCATAATATATATATATATATATATTAATACATATTAATACATAAATATCGTTCGTGAAGGGAGAAATGGTATTCACTTATGAAAAAATTATACGTGCTAATAATACTTCCTATCAAAAATATATATTTTTGGATTCATCCTGCTTATTAAAACCTCCAAATGGGTTTTACCTAAAAACCAATATCACGGTTATAAGTATGCTGTGTGATATGAATACAATGAGTGCATGCATTTTTTTCGATAATCTGAAATTTTATTATTCGTTCGACTCAACTATATCTCCTACAAAAACAGAGAAAACCATGTGAATGTTTGAATGTTTTGTCCGGGTGGAGACTCGAATTTGGGTTGGAAAAAACTTTTACTCCATCTCTTACCAATTGAGTTATCCAATCTTGGATTAGAGCATGTAGTTGGTTCATAATTTTGATAAAAATTAGAACCTTGTTCTAAAGGAGGATCTAAGTTCCACATATTTGAGTTAGAGATATGTGATAATCGATTTTGATACATAATAATTTTGTATCGATCTTCGAATTTTAAATATCAGATCTTACACGAATAAAACTATGATTTCTTCAATCAAACCAAGCAAAGCTTTAAATACATAATCCTATGGGGCCAAAGTGTTCAACCAAAATCGAAGAAAGGAAAATTAAAAAAAAAAAAAAAAAAAAAAAAAAAAAAAAAAAGACACCGATAATTTCAAGGGAGGGTAAAATGGGAATTTCAGAAAAAGAATAGGGGCACCTTGTAATAAGATTTGGGATACCACCGGAAAGAATGTTGCAACATCTGACGACAAACATAGGGACATTGTTGTTTTGCCTTTTCAAAAAAATCCACGTAGACAGTCCACACATGTATGTGCCCCCGTCTTCCATACGTACATTATTCACAACTTGATTACATGTACATATGTATATAAAGTATTATTGTTTGTAATTATTGTGAATTATACGTAACAAGTTGGGTGGTAGCATTTTTTTTATTTATTAATTTCTTGGTAATGGTGTCCTATTAAGGAAACAAAAAGTTATATAGCAGCTTTTAAAAAAAATATATCAACATGGGAATATGTGAAATTAAGATCCAACTCCGAGAAAGTCATGATTTCGAATTACTGTAACAATTAATTTTATATAATTAAAGAACAAAAACAATCTTAATATAGTTCTTTTAGTCTAAATCCAGAAGGGAACGAATAACAGAATATATACAATAATATATATCCGGCTATGATATCTTTCAAATAAATTTATTTTTATTATTTTATTTTGTATAGCAAAAATATCATAATATTTGTTTCAAATACTTGTTTTTTTTTATATAATATTTAACCCAAATGGGATTTGAATCCTGATGACGGTGCCTACCCTAAACGGGTGTTTCGAATACTCGTAAATTTACTATATCAAATCTTTGATTCTTAAAAAAAAAAGTATTTGACATGTATACAAATATCTAATATTTGCTATGATTAACTTTACTTTATATTAATATATCCTGATAAAATATTTAAAATTTCGTATATATCTCTAATAAAAACTTTTCATAGAGATAAACTCTTAAAAGAACTACAGGAAGAAACCAACTAAAGCACTATAATGGCATCACGTGTATGTATCCATACATGTATATACATATGTATGTATGTATGTATGGATAAAAGGGCTTTTGCAGGATTAGAAGAAAAAAGGGTGAGCTGGAGAAGAAGACAAAGAGAGAGACGCAATTAGTGAATGGATTTTGGTGAGACATAGAGCAACATGCACCTTTGAATAATTGAAGAGTGTGGGGGCCTATTGTTCTTTTCTTCTTTGTTTCTATTTGCTTTCCTTGCCATCTACACACCAATCACCTTCAATCTCATACCCCAAAACAGAATCACATTTATATAAATATGCCTAAATGTTTTTATAATATGCTTTTTTTATTTTATTTCAAGGATCCATTTACCTAACACAATCCACATTTGAGATTTTATCTTTGCATGTTCATTATATCCTATCTATTTTCATTTCTTTATGGTCTCTACGTACTAATCATATTTAATCCACATCATTAATCGCAATAGTATATGGTTCGAACCCATAATATCTCACAAAACCGTCCTTGTAAATTGTCGACTCGTAGACCTTGTATCAACCGTAACATCATTGATAAATCCTATTTTCTTATTTTAAACGAAAAAGTTATTTTCCATTCATTAATTTATAAATTTGTTTCAATAGGTACAAACGACTCTCTTTATAACTTTGAATATACTAAAATTTTTTATCATAAATAAACATAATATTTGGCCTAGTGTTTAGCAAAAGACAAAAAAAAAAGTGTCTCTAACTAACTTTAAAGGCAAAAAAAGGGACAGCAAATAAAATCGTAGAAAACCATATATAGCAAAGCCATAAAAATCTTTTAATGTAATAAAATTTTGTAGTTCGAATTTAGGGTGACAAACTTGTGAATTAGGGTTTAATTCGGTCTCATGTTTGTGGGAATGAGGACATTCTTCGGATTAGGGTTTGATGGCCCATGTGTTTTTGTTTGTTCATGCCATTAAGTTGATGACGATGATGATGCACAACGCCAAATGATATTTTCTTTATCATAATCTTAACTTTTTCTCGTTAGTTAAGACATTTGATGTGCGGTCTCTTTCCAATTCTTTGCATTTTTCTTCCGCTTTCTCAATTAGATAGTCACTGCCCTAATTAATGGACCGTCATTGTTATATGGCAATGTAACACAAATTAGTTTGGGACGTTATGGTCGGGCTTAAAGCATGAATGTACGGCTGTACGCAACTTTAGTATAGGTTTTAACTGTTAAGTATTTGTTTGTACCCATTAGTAGGGATGGGCAAAAATATTCGAAAATCGGATACCCATCCCGACTCAAAGATCGGGTATCCGCTTGCCATGAGATATAAATTGAATTTTGATATATTTAAAATCCGAAATTTGGGTTCAGGTTTGAATTAATGTTTTCACGTCGAGTAATTATTTTTGGGTATTCGAATAATAGAAAAATATAGCTATTAGAAAATGATAAATATATCTATCAATATCTAATTTTTTTTTACTTTATTTACATAAAAAAAACACTGTCGTTTTATTATATAGTTATTTTGGATATAAAATTTTTCAATGATTTTATAAATTATTTATATGTAATCTATAGATTTTTGAATTTTTAATGAAAATATATATAAAATTCGACGGGTTTGGATATCTAGGGATACCCAAAAATTGTCTCACGGATATATAATTCGGATACCCGAAAATTCGGATTCGAATTCGGGTTTTAACATACATAACTCGTCCCGTTCGAATTCGTGTTCGGGTGTCTAAAAATCCCGAATACTTTACCCATGCCTACCTCTACCCGTTAGTGCTCCGGTTTCATAATAAAGAAGTAACTAAGAGTGGATTTAACATATTTAAGAAACTCCAATTCCGTGTTAATGCATCATCCATCATCTTACCATATACATGAGAACAGAGCATATATAGTAACAATATATATATATATAGATAGATAGATAGATAGAGAGAGAGATAAATAGATATAGATTATATTTAGATAGGGTTTGTGGTGAGCCAGTTTGAGAAGGCTTGAAGGGTGTTCATGTCGGCTCTGTAATGCTTCTGAGTGAACTCAAGAAACATGGACCAAGTGAAGTCAGGGTACTTTCTCGGAGTAGAACCAGTTATGTCCAAAAGCTCACTCGGCGGCTTCACCACTCTGTCTTTCTTCGGGCACAGGAAGAAGGCGAGAGATTTCCTCGCGCTCTCGCTGTTCACCACCGCTCTGTGCAAGCAACTCCTGTATCTCCCGTTTGACAGAGCCTGTAATTGTTTTTTTTTTTAAACGCATATATATTTGATGAGGATGACCTTCCATTATATATATATATATATATACACGGTTATTGTGAGAGATATATATAAAGGCGGAATCTTTACCATGAAAGTGTCGCCGATGTTGACAACAAAGGCCTTGGGATTGGGACGGATGGATCGCCATTGGTTATCGACAAAGACCTGAAGGCCATTGACGTTGTCTTGGTGAAGGATCGTGAGAGAGGTGGGATCACAATGGGGCCCTGTCCCGAGGGTAAGGTCCGGTTTTTGGCATGGAGGGTAATAGTTTAGCCTCATTATCGAGTCGTTCTCTTCGAAGAACTCTCGGAAATGTTCTCGGTTTACGCCTAAACTTAGCCCGAGAAGCTCCATGATCTTCAGCGACAAAGCACTCATCGCCTCGCAATACTCCTGATAAACTTTCCTGCAAATGCAACAAAGATGTCATTTAGAAAAGGGGAGGATTGGATCATTGAATTCTGGTCAAAATCTTTAAAGTTTATGACTTTAGGGATATCAACCAGATGGGTCGGTACATGGAAAGTATCTGAAACCGTAAACCGGTTCTTTGGGTTGGTTTGGTGGTCAAAAAGCCGGTTTTAAGGTCCCCATCCAGGTAAAGACAAAAAAACAGAGCAGGGACCTGGACAAGTGAAAACGTTTTTTTTTTTGTTTCACTTTTCTTATGGCATGTGTCTATTTGTGGGGATGATCTACGCACCCAAATGGCTCAAACTCTTGTCCCATTGCACCGTGGAAGTAATCTTGAACGGTCTTGGAAGGGTTATTCTCATTCGAAAATCGAAAAGAGAGAGTTTCTTTCCACGGGAGCTTGTCGGAGAAACGGCCCGTGAAGCTGCTGGCGTAGCCGCAGCTCCCGCCGG